TTTTCATTAAATTTACAAATTGAATTACGTAATAAGATCTTTTATTAATTTAGTTGATAATTTCAACGATTTATTTAATTTAATTGAGCAATACAATTTTACATTTAAGTAAATTTATAATTTCAATGCTTCGATTTATCCATATGTCACATTAATTGTTCTTATTACTTCATTTGTTGTCAGTCTTTAATTTATTCACTATATTATTCATATATCGTCGCTTTGAAACTAAACCGTGGTAACTCAAAAAAGCAAGTTTTTCAGTAGAGCGATTTCAAACTTTCGACGCTAATGTTAATCGCGGCAATGCGATGACGATTTATCTGCTCTCTAAATTAATTTTATGGAACTATAAAGATAACAGGTTGTTTTTCTAAAATGGTGATTTTTTTTACACAAAATGACCCAAAAATCTCATTTTTCGACTTTTTTGAGTTACAACGGTTTAGTTTCAAAGCGACGATATTTAGTTTTTAAATATCATTATGAGAACTAAACAATTTTAGAAGAGTAGAAGAATTTAGATAAAAGATAAAAATTTAATCAATAATATTTATAAATAATTATGATTCCAACTTCTGACATTATGAGCACATTAAAAATATAAAAACTTATTATGTTAAGAGTCATTTTAGTATTTGATGACTTTACAACTTGTGCTGATGATCGAGAGCAGCGCTTCCTATGGATCAGGGATTTCAGGGACTCCGATAGTTAAAATTTCTTTCTTTCTTTTTTTTCTTTTTATTTTTTTTTATTTTTTTAACAGTGATGATTTAGAAATCTTAAATTTATATTTAAATCCAATCAAAAATATATTATTTATTAAATATTTTGGTTATTTCAATGAAATTATTTAATTAAAACTGCCGTAAAAAATACATCTTTTAATTTATAACAATAGATTGAGTAAAATATAAAAAGCATAAACATTTTAAATTAAATTTTTCGATTAAAAATAAAAAGCTAGATTCACCGATAAAGAAGTATATTTTTCTGATAACCATCCTCAAAGCTTATAACAGTTTTTTTTTTTCGTTTTCATTTAGATTAAAAAAGTATAATTAAGTTTATTTTATTCATTTTCAATTCATACCTACAATAAAAAAACTAATTCAAAACTAGACTTTATGCTACTCCTAACCGGTTAATTCAACTGTCAGACATGAAGCCTCATTTTAAGACTATTATTGATGAAACATTGAATCAAAAACCTTCAAAATTAATTACTAACGGGTTTTATTTATTAAGTTCGAGTCCCCCAAAAGAAGATATATATCATTTTGAAAGGAAATAAAACCGGAAAAAATTGGGAATCGTTGCTTTAGAGAATTAAAATTAGTTTCCTAATTTTTTTTTTATATGCTCAAATGGATCAAATAAAACAATCTATAACTATAATGATATTATTTAAATCTGGCTACAATTGATAAAAATAAACATCTATATTATATAAAACGCTAATACGTATGTATCAATAAAACCGATGATATTTCTTTTCTCGCGTTGGCAACAGTTTTCATTTTTAATTGATAGGCTTCGGCGCGCAGGAGCACGTAGTGAGCATCATATTGCTAATCTATATTATATAAAACACTAATACGTTTAAATTGATAGGCTTCGGCGTGCAAGAGCACGTAGTGAGCTTCATATGTCTAATCGGGTGAATTCTCACCGAATTATCAAAAAAATTCTCACAAAAGTATCTTCATCGAAGCCGATGCTTTACATCCGGCGTTCAGTACTATTTCATATTGTTTTACAATACATGGTTTAAGCCTTCTGGTGGGAAAGACTTTAAAACCAAACTTACAACAGTTACTTTTCTCAACAACTGAAATTTAGAATAGTGTGATTAAGAAGAATCTGTGAACTGTTTGCAATTTCAAATTTATATTGAAATGCACAGGTTTAGAATTTTCTACAGTGAAAAGTTTTTGGAATTTCAGTGTTCAAGAAAGTATACAAAAGCTAGACGTTAAGAACGTATCCAATGAGCGAGCAAAGCGAGCATCGGATTGCGAAGCAATCCGAAATGAACTGCGAAAGCAGTTCTGGGGGTTGGCGAGCGCCAGCGAGCAGGGGGCGAAGCCTCCTAGTTGTAATAAAATTCTTTTAAGCAACATTCAATTAAATCGAGAATAGTTATTTTATGAAATATTAACTATTATTTTTTTTAAAATGCTGTTGACGAACTTGTTTTGAAATGGGGATATTATTTTGTTTTAACTTGATTTACTTAGTAATAGAGCACTATATTATTATATTTCCTTAAAACTATCTTCGTTGAAATTGGCATTTTGGTTACTTAATATTGAAGCATATTATTGAATATTGAAATATTTTCTCGTATATAGGTTATTTATTTATTTGTTTTTGATAAATAAGTCACATATTTAATTTAAAATCATTTATCTTATATATAAGTTTATATTACATACTTCAATATCAAGTAATTTTCATAACTTGCTTACAAATATTAATAAAACACTTTTTAATGTAATTTAATAAATGCTGTAAAATATTTCACATTACAACGCTTTCAATTACAAAGCGGTTGTCAAATATTTCATTGAGAAGTTATTCATCTTCAACTTTAAATATGGATGGAAATTTAAAAATTTTCGGTGAAACATTTTAAACATGAATGGAAATTAGAAAAATTTCATCAAGTTTTTATTTACAAATATAAGAAAGATATAGCAATACTTTTTTCTTCTTTTAGGGGAAGGGATCAAAACTGAAATGTCTCTAAATAATCCGAAATGAAGAAATTATGTAACTCAAAATATATAAAATGCTTTGTATTCATATTTATAAGTAAATAAATACAAATAACACAAAAAAAAACTCCACTCAGTTAGTTTGAGTATAGTTTAATATATGGTTTTATGTTGTAAGAAATTCTTAAAAGAAAATAAGTTTAATTGTTTGAAATTTAAAATAGCATTAGAACAGAACATAAATTCGAAAGCATTAAAACAATAATAACATAAATTCAGAAGCATAAATAAATGTTTATAGCATGTATATTTTGTAATGTATTAATTCTTTACTTCATATTAAATAATAAGTAATTCGTTATTATTGATAAATTCCTAAGCTTTAAAAATTAAATATTTAAATTAGTTTTTAAGTTCACAGAATGAATTTTATGATATGTTTTTATAGTTTGTGCAAAAACACCATATCAGGATATATTTAAAAATGTTATAAAACAATTTTAAAATGGTAGTATTAAATTTCCTGGTTTATACATATAATAATGATATGAGAATAAGTGCAAGTAGATAAATTAATGTAGGAGTTTGATGTCCTTTTTTGTAAATCAATACATGTCGAAAAATAAAATGCTGTTATTATAGCAGATATTACAATTTCCAAATTTATTTGAGATTTTTAATTAAAAGAACAACACAATATAATATCCACTTAGACTTTGTTTTTGGCAAAAATTATTAAAAATGTTAAGATTTTTTTTCTAATTCAGTTCACATTCAATGAAGAGAAAATGGAGAAATAGTTAAATATTCCTGTTGTAATGTTCTTGAGAAAGTATCATTTGAAAGGAATATGTAAGTTTAAATTCAAATTGAACATACACATATTTCTCAAAACAAGCTATCTGTTTCGTAACACAACAAAATTCATTTTTTCTAAAAATAACTTCCAACATCCAACTAAAACTAAAAATATAACTTTCAACTCTAAAATATGGCACTTACATGGACTATTTACTAAAAACTATCACTTAAAAATAGTTTAGTGTTAGTTTTACGTAGTTACTTTGTTTGTAGTAAATACTTTTAGTAAAAATTTGTATCACTTACAAAAATATTGATAAAAATTTTGAATTTCATTTCATGCCACCATACAATTATCAGACAAGTACATTCTACATCAAGCTCTTAAATTAGCTAACAAATTAAATTTCCAATCTTTTGATTTGTACTTCAAAATAATACTTCATTTTATAATTAAACCACTACTTTCAAGTAAATTTTTTAAGATTTACTACAATATTTTTTAAGCTTTACAACTGAAAAATTTAAAATTAAATTTAATAACTAATAAGAATTTATTTTTGACACTTCAATTTACATTTTAAAATATTATGAAATAATATTCCATACTAAAATACTTATTTTATTTTTAAAACATTTATTCTCAACAATTACAAAAAAAACGAATTACTTTGTACTTACCAATTCATAGTTTTTTATACTTAATAATTGATTAAAAATTGATTTCTAATATATCGATTGATTGGAATTTAAAAACAAATTAAACATTTATGAAAAACTAAACAATTATATTTTAAAATTTGAAGCATATTTTTTCAATAATATTCCTTAATATAAAAAATTACTTTCCAATTTAAACTTTAGAAAAAATTGATTATTCTTATGTTTTAAACAGTTTTGAATTTTAGGAAACTTAAATTTAACTAAAAAATATTTTCAATATTACAGTTTATGCGTAAAGAAATGATGCTATAAATTTATTTTATTATTAAAACAATTGTTTTTATTTTCTTTGTTAAAGTTATAAAATTAGTTCATATTTATGAATAATCATGATGTTCATTTAAATGTAAGTTATCAATTTATTGACGTTAATAGCACTTCAAAGTTTAGTCGAACGTTTTAAAATTGAATAATTTTGCTAAATATAGTTATAAATATTATAATTCTGTTATCGTGATGGTATTTTTACTATGTTAATATAAGAAATATAATTATTATAAATATTTTCTATTTACATAATAATGACATCTCACTAGTCTAAAACAAACTACCACGTGAAATAACTTTAAAAACAATAATACTGCTAAAAATAATCACAAACTTTTTAACATCATATATGCGTAAATACTGTTAAACAATATACTGCATTGGTGGAAACAAAATTGTTGTGTACGTACTAATGTACGTCTGAAACGTACGTACATATATCGCATTTCGTGCCATTTAATTCGTTCTCAAAATTATGATCAGAAATCAAAAAAGGAATTTAATAAATATATAAAAGCAAATATACACAACAATGATAAAATTCTTCCCATTGACAAAATTAGTTTCAGATTTAAAAAAAAATTATATTGAGTTTTAGTGATTTGTTTATCGCCTTGGGAAGACTATACATATTGATAGTTCAACATAGTTAATAAATAACACTAATTCATTCGTCTATTAACGACGATACACATTTTTCTAGCACACATTATATGGAGCTTTGGATATAAAACCCTGCTTAGATCATCCTATGACAATAAAATCGAAAGATAATCTAATCTAAAATGATGAAATAGAAAAAAAAGTTTCCTTACTTTAATTCATGGAAACTAAACTTCACGGATTATTCCGTTTTAGGATTTCGTCAATTAATTAAAAAAATAATAATAAATCAAAAATTTAAAAAAAAAAACCTTTGTCTTTCAACCTCTTTTATGAACTTGATTTGTTTTTATATCCAATGCTTTCTGAATTGCTTGAAAAATAAAATATACCTACATCAGCATCTATGTCTACAATAAAGGCCATTCCGTTAAATAATGCTCAAGTTCAAGACACGAAATAGTATGAAGGTATACTTACATCTTCAGTCAGTTTAAAAAGTGACTTCATTTTGCTTTTGTATCCAAATTCACTTATTAAGTGGTTAAAAAGCATCTTTAAAATTACAACTTAAGTAAAAAAAAAAAGTTTTTTCGAATTATTATTCAGAAAAAAAATGATTTTTACGAAGTTTACCAAAACTGGTGCACCCATGTTGGACTACTAGGTGTGGAAGCTTGGATGGTGTTAGAATTCCCATGGCAACTAAGATTATAATTTGTTCCTCTATTATTATCCCAATATTCTTTACCATTCACTGTATAGCATAACGCAAATTCTACACTGTTGTACATTGGTGGCAAAAATATACTAAAAGTGAAGCTGTCAGTGTTATGTTGCATGGAGCCTGGGACGTATGAAGCTTCAATATCGTTTGAAGTCATCCACTTGTTGACGGTGTACCTGGCTCGAACTTTTTTGCTAAATCCCCAATTCATCACTCTGCACGTACACTGGACACTGAAGTCTGATATGACCACAGATTCCAGGCATATACCCTGAGTTTGCAGTCTGTCGTGGAAGTCCGGTTGTTGTCCGGGAATGGGAAATGTAGGAAAAAGAACATTCGGACCTGTTGCGGATTGAATAGTTTCCCAAACTCCCTGCTGTCTGTTTTTCAGTTCTATGGTCGAAGGTGGTCGATCAGGTTTTTCCTCTTCAGCTAGCACCAAATCATTATAGGCTGATGGCGGAACATTAGGCAAATCTCCGCTAATTATGTGGCGGACATCCTCCAAGTCCAGACCAAGTACGTCAGCAAAACGGACAATTTTCTTACGTCCTGGTGTGCCAGGAGGAGTTTTACCAGTTTTTAGAGAAGTACTTCGGGAGATGATAGGACGAAATTCACCGAAAACTTCGAGTCTGAGTGGATCGGTGGGTTTTGGAATCGTGAGTTCATCTTGTACAGGAGAGAGTACAGGTGAGCTGCTTTCTTCAAGAATTTGAATGGGCGATGAATGCGGTGCTTTAGGGGATTGTGTGTTCACTAAATCATGAGCTTCGCTTGAGTCAAAATCATTTTGGTCAGCACCATTGGACTCGCAAACTTTATTTACATCATCATCATCGTGTCCATTTGTCAAAGATAATTGTTTTTCTTGAGAGAATAAATTATCATCTGAAGTATTTTCCCTGGCGCATGAATCCAAGAGAATATTATCCGAACAATTATAATCAAAAGAGGAATTATTTAAATTATGTAATATATGATTTTCGCTGTTTATACTGCCACTAAAAATAGCAGGTTCAGGTATACTATTTACTGAAATGTTGTCTGAAATATCACATACATTTTCACTAATGTCGGTACTTTGTAAATCCTTCATTGTGAGTTTATCTAAACTTTTAGATAGAATATTTTCATATTGGTTTTCAAAAACAATATCGCCCTTGTCTGTAAACTGCTCGTGTGTTTTATAGTCACATGCTTCATCGAAAGCATCTTTTTCATTCGATTGATGATTTACATTCGAAACTGCCTCTCGATTTTCACCAATGGAATCAGTCACTTCAACATTCTCGCTGACGTCATAAAAAACATCGGTTACGTCATCCACCGCGTGCTGTTGAAGTAATTCGAACAATTTCGCCCTACCTGCCACGGTAGCTGCCGAACTGTCATCCCGACGATCGCATCTATCCTCTTCCACGGGGGATGGAGAAGCATCGAAAAATTCTTCATCCTCTTGCTCTCGTAATCCATTTGAAACGGCTTCACCATCGACGACCATTCCCCACGTGTTAGGCCATATCCGGCTATTTGCTGACCGAGCCAGAGTTTCCGCTTTTGTTCGGCAGCTGCTTAAACTACAGGCAGCCTCGTCTGTGAAGTTTTTGCCCTTCAACATCGAGGAATCACCAGCATTTCACGTAGAGCATTTCACAAAGGTGCAGAGCGAATGTATGATCCGACCTTCAGCGTCCTTCACTGCAATGGTTTGATCTTGAAAAATAGGTTTGGGAGACAACACCACGGGCCGACAGAGGGCGCAGAAGTAGTCAGGGGAAAAGGAGAGATTCTATATTTAACTTCCTTCTCTCTTCAATATGAGAGAATAATTCTTGAGAGAGAGTCGGGAGAGTATTTAGATGATAAAAATCTAAATAAAGGAGAAGCAGTGACGTTAAAGTGTAGGCGACTTTGGTTTAGGATGCAATAAAGTAGACTTAATTGCACCTTTCAGAGAGATTAAATCAAATTCCTTCTATCCAGACTTCCACCAGACTTAACAAAAGCGATACAGACTTGTTTTATGAGGGATAAATAAATGACGTTATGGAGAAGTAAAATAGTTTGCACTTTAGATGAGAGAATTCATAAAAAGAATAGGATTTTGGATAAGTGTCAAAACTTATTAAGAAAGTTGATTGGGTGAAAACAAAATTGCATTACGTGAACACGTGACTGGCAGGTAACGAAAAATATCACTCGCTGATTTTAAATCAACGATCCATTTGCTCATTTTTAAAAAAGCAACTAGATTTCAAATATAGTAAACAATAAAACTTTTTGCACAAGTTAAGACATTGTAAAACTCATAAACATTATTAATTAATTTTTAAATACTCTTATTTTAATTGAATATACATTTTATCCAAAAAGTATAAAGTTACTGTTTAATCTTGAATTTTGCACCTCTTATTATATAAATTAGGACTTACTCGTATTTTAGAACTTACTTAGTTTAATTATTGATTATACTTATTACGCATTTAAAAACTTAAAGAAATTGCATGCAGGAAGATGATAAATTAGAGTGTTATTCAATAAATAAGAATTTGATTATTTGAGTCTAAGTAAGAACCAAAATTGAATTAAATCTAATTCATTTAAAATTGAATTTTCATCCTGAACTTTAAATTAAAATCTAACTAATTCATATTTAAAAAAAGATATTAAATTAACGAATATTTACTTTACTGAAAATTAACAGTAAAACGATGATTAATTTAATGATTTTTAAGGACATTTGAAACTAAAAATTGAATGGCTATAAATTGATAGAAATCCAAATTTATATTAATTCACTGAACAAAGAGTTAAAGACTATTTTTATGCCTCTATTAAAACGAACATTTCTCTAAAGTATTATCTAACTGCAAACTTAAAATAAATTTCTGATAAACTCATGAATTAAAAAACCTTGAACTCCTGCAATTAGTTCATTTTATTACTTGCTAAACTATAACCAAATTACAAATAAAATAACTTATTTTTGTATTTATAGTTTATCAATATTGAAACAAATTGTAAAAACACGTATGGAAATTCTATTGCTATCTAATAATTTTAAAAAAACCCGAAACTCTAAATTTAATAATTAAAACTCTTGATAAAAATCAGATAGTAAATATTTTATGTACCTTTAAAATAGAATTATATAATCTTATGACATAAATTGTATAAAATCACTCTTAATAAAATGAAATTTTCATGTTTCAGACATAAGAGTTCACTTTTTAAAAAATAATTTTTTTCTCTAAAAATTAAGATTTTCTTTAATGTTTAATAAAAATTTCCATAACTTTATACTAATACCTTTTGATACCTTTATTTTCTTTAAATTTTTAATTTAATTAAAAAATTATGCTTCAAATTTTGATATAATATTAAAAAATTAAATTAAAAAAATTTCTGCAATTGAGTGTAGATAACCTTTCATAAAAGTATAAACAAAGATTACACATTCTATTATATATTCATTTTAGAATTAAGAGTTTCCTTTTTTTAATGGTTTCTGTAATTTAATGGTAGTAAATTTCCTAGCCTCCCATTGAGGTAAATCGGGTTCGAATCCCAGTGACTGTTGGTAGATACGATTTTCTCACCCGGTTCGAAACCGATCACAGTGCTGACGTAAAATATCCACAGTGCTAGACGAGTCCCCTTGCCTTTAGGCTAATCGTGGGTTGTTTTAGTGGTTTTCCACTCCATGTAGCGCAAATGCGTGTTAGTTCTATCAAAGAATCCTCGACGAAGACAAATTTCTCCCAATACTTGGACTCTTGTCTTCTGAATTGGGTTCAAAATTACAAGGCTATGGAGTTGAACATTAGCATTCCTAAACTCAAAAATTTTATCGGCTGTTCAATGACGGTAATGAAATAAAAATTAAAAATATCGGTTTAATAAATCGTAAATTAAAAACTTGTCATTAATGGAGCCTAAATAACATTTTTAGAAATTAAATGTTAACTAAGATTTCATATTTTACTATATGAAATCATCTAGAAAATTGAGATCAGTTTAAAATTTAACAACATTTTTTATAAACTCGAAATACTAAATTTTCTGAACTTATAAAATTATTTTTTCAATAATTTAAATAGCTTTAATTTATTTAAAAAATGTACTTCTAATTTCAATATATGATTCCAAGAAACAATAAATTAAAAACTTGTCATGGAGAATATGTAGAATTTTTTAAAAGCAAATATAAACAAAGATTACAACATATTCTATTTTAAAATTTACAAAAGGCATGGGAATATATCCGTAGAGAACCTTTTTCTTGACTGATGAATCGAGAATGATTGAATTTATAAATCCACAAATCATTTTAGAAGAATAGATGGAGTGTGTTTTTATGTAATCGTCTGACCTTTCGATTGTCCTTTCAATATTTATAGTTCTTTGATGTCACGGTCATTTTCTCCGTAAAACATAACCCTATACTGGTTCTTCAAAACATACCATTTATCATTTCATTTATCCATGACTTTTGGAATAGAAATAAATATACACATCTTTACTAATTCTGTTCTTGTCAGACAATTATTTTATCTTCATACTGCAACGATAAATGAAATGCATGCCATAAATAAAATTTTACGTTAAAAAGTGTTATCAAGTTAAAAAGAGAAAAAAAACAATTAAAAAAATATTCGGATAAAATATATTTGAAATAGGAAACGAATTATCGCATGATATGCTTAAAAACTATTTCAAAAAAACTAATTTCCACTGAAAATTGTGATTTTGTTTTATTCAGCATTTAATAATAACTTAAATAAATTGATGATTCTCAATTTCCACAATTTGTAATCATGACGGAACAAACTATCGCATCGTTCATGGAAAAAATATTGTATTTACAAAATAGATTCAGTTTCTCCATTTAATGAGTTAGCAACTTGGTTCTCGCATTTATTTTTTTTTAAATTTTTATTTTTGTGCACGCCATTAAATATTTTTGGCACATAGTTTTAGAGCAGTGGAAAGAGAATATTTTACTCCATCTTAATCTTTTTTTTGTTCGAGTTAATTTAGATTAATTTTCAGATCATTAAAACGGATTAAAAAAGCCTTTCTTTTGGCATAATCAAGGTTCTACGATCACAAAAGCTGTTCGTGACATTTGTGCTGCGTGTGGAGAGTGCTCTATAGCGGAGATTTTATAGAGCCAATGGTTTTACAGATTTTATAGATGGGTAAGCTAAGTTTAAAGATGAAAACGTTGACCCCAAAGGCGCATCTGGTTTTGGACGTCCAAGAATTCGAAGACCGACTTTTGCTCGAAAATACGCCTCAAAAGACAAGAGAACAGGGAAAGAAAATAGAGTGTTCCTACACTTTAAGCATTTTAAAATAAAATTAAAATGGTGGGTGTTGTCAATCAAATATTTAAAAACTTCATTTAGTGAAAAATTTTAAAACTTATTAAGTTATCTTACGAAAAGATCAGCATCACTCACATTTCTGCAAGAACCAAACTATTTATAATCTTTATATTATTCATTAACTTTGAAATTGTCAAACACACTAAAATAACTCATTAAAATATTCATCATCACTCACATTTCTACATAAGCAAAAATATGTCAACAAATGATGGCCTAAAAATTCAAGTACCGTATACATTTTCATTTATTTTACAAGCTGTGTTGAACAGCTGAAGCCTATGGGCAACAAGTAGAATCCATCCACGAATATTCAGGAGTTAACGAATTATTAAAAAAAAAATCCGTCATCATTAACTTTAAATGCAATGCGTCAATAATTGGTATCTTCCCAAACAAACTTCAAGAAGAGATGTTTTGTAATAGCTACTCGATTGAGAGGGATAGTTTTCTGGCAGGTGTAAAATGCATCCTTTTATCCAGTGAGATTACAAAAGGAAAAAAGATACGCAAGTTGATTGAAAAAAAAAAGATTCGAAAAGGCGGTTGCTTTATGCATTTTTTAAGTCATTCTTTCAGAATGCCGACAGCGTGTCACGAGCAAATTAAAATAGTATTCTACTGTTAAGCGTTTGTTTTTTCTTCTTTCTTCTAGCTCTCCGTCGGGACTATTTAAATCCAAGAGTTGCTTACATCATTCGTAACAAAATAAGAATTAGTATTTATTTAAGTGTTTTCAAATTATAGAAAATTTTTTTTTTTTTACCTAATAAAACATTTAGAAACATTTCAATGAAGTGGTAAGTAAATTAACAATACAGTAATCGTGGCTTATAGTTGCTATTTTGGATTGAGAGAATATTTCAATTACTGTAAAAGCCCGATATAACGAGTACAGCATAGTACGCTATTACAACAAATTTCTAAGTCACTGTCAAAATTCTGACATTAAAAATTGTGTGTCTAAAACGAGTTAAAAAGGACTAGCTATCCGCTATTGCGATAAAATTATTTTTCCGGAAAATACGTTTTTTTTTTGCTCTTTAAGTGAGCAATATTATATGAAAAAGATTTAAATGGAAAACATTTTTATTTATTTTTGGTATCAATACAGAAAAAGGAACATAGTTTCCGTCTTGCAATCTTAACACCACACATTTTTATAAAAACAATGTGTGCGCGATCACCAACTTTTCTAATAAATTTCTCTCCTCCTTTTAAAAGATTAGTTCGTTATCTCTAGGATTCCTATTAAGCACTTCAAAAATGTGCATTTCATCGACGACATATCTATCCTGCTTCCTTATTTCCCTTCATGACAGCTTACTATGTAAAACATTCACTGTTATCAAAAATGTCAAAAAGCATAGCATTTCATTTTTCCATTTCAAATAAATGTTTCGAAAATTAAAGCATATAAACTTGCAAGATTGATTGCTGTGGAAACATATCTGCTTTTCAAAAGGGATTGACCTACGCAATTCTAATATTTGAGTACAAAGAAGTAAGCAATGTACAGAATTGTTAACTAATAGAATACAGAGTAATAGTTGTATAAAATAAAGAAGAAGAAAAAAGATAAATATGTCCATTTCATTTTTTAATCTTTTTATTGTTACTTCAACATTAAGCA